CAGCAGCATGCGACTGTGTGTCTCCCTGTACCTTCACTTCTGAGTACTGTTATTTTTCAAAGTTGACATTTTAATGGATAAAAAATTATATATCATTTTTAAAAATTTGTTTATGGCATATAGTATTAATTATTTAACATTTTTTCTTTTGGGAATTATCTATTCACACCTGCAAAGAAAAGTTTGATAATTGAATTAAAAACCTTAATGAATGAATTTTGAAGATTTTATTTATTCATAAGAGACACAGAGAGAGGCAGAGACACAGGCCGAGGGAGAAGCAGGCTCCATGCAGGGAGCCCGATGTGGGACTCCATCCCGGGTCTCCAGGATCATGACCTGAGCTGAAGGCAGTGCTCAACCAGTGAGCCACCCAGGTGCCCCAAAACCTTATTGAATTTAAAGAACTAAAAAGAATGAATTATTTTCTCTTATTTATTTATCTAGTTGCATATTCAGTGATTAAAGGCTAAAACAACATCTTGAAAGCACTGTTGGACTGCAGTCTATTATTAAAAGCTTTTGGAACTTAAAATTCTGTCTTCCCATTTGTGTACATTTTTTTCCCCAACTAACAAGTGGACTATTCATATGTTGTGGATCCTAACATATTATTTGATAAAAGTACAAGATAAAGAGGCTTTTCCTAAAGAACAGCAGCCTGGAGGGTTAATTGTATTTTTTTAAAGATTTTATGTATTTATTCATAAGAGACACAGAGAGGCAGAGACACAGAGGGAGAAGCAGGCTCCATGCAGGGAGCCCGAAGTAGGACTCGATCCTGGGTCTCCAGGATCATGCCCTGGGCTGAAGGTGGCGCTAAACTGCTGAGCCACCCGGGCTGCCCGTTAATTGTATTTCTGATACTAATGCACCCAAGAAGGGGAAGTGAGTGGCAGCTGCAGTCACCTCAGGCTCTCTATAAAATGCCCTGTGTCAGGAGCATTCACTGGCAGGTTGTATAGCAGGGATTTCTGGTATTAGTCCTTTTACTAGAATACTCTTGCTGAGGAAGCTGAGCATTGGGGTTATGATTATGCATGATAAACACTGAGTGAAAACTTAAAATCGCTTTCTCTTAGCAGCAGATATGATGGAAATCTACTGGGGAAGGATCTTTAGTTGAGAATTTGGTGACGGCTTTCTTCATCTCTTGTCAACTGACCTTGCGGGTCTGAGGGGTCGCTGAGGGTCTCTGAGGTTTCTCATACCTCTGCTTATTGCAGGCAGATTATGTGTTCTTTAGTGTCTCTTGACGTAGTGTTTTTCCTCATTTAAATAGTAAAACACACACATGGCGTTTGAAGCATGGTATAGTTGAGCAGGTGTGTGTGTGCATGTGTGTGTATGTTTGTGTGATTATTTTTTTGGGATTTGAAGGGTTAAACAGGATGTTAGTTATTATTATTGGTTTTGTTTATCAGTGTCCAGTCTAGGAAGTTAAAATCCTAGGGTGTATTTCTAGTTTGTAAAAAATCTTTTGACCAGGAATGTTGTCAATAATTGCCCTTCGGGTGAGATTTAGTAAATTGACATTCACATTCAGATTCTTGAGCAAAAATATTTTAAATAGAAACACTTGCTTGATGTACCTGTTGTCTGCTGCTGTCTGTATCTTCTACACAAAATCTGCTGCTTTCGGAAATAAAGTGGTGTACTAAGGTGTTTTGCAATTTGCTTGGTCACTGCGTGTTTCTTGACCTCTGGAAGAGAAGTGATTTTGTTTTTAGTTGTTGTTTAAGCAGATGTCTGTTATCTGGGAGAGCAGCATAGTGCAGACCTAATCATAAATAGAAGCGGGGGGGGGAGGGGTTTTAAGGAGTGCTACATTGCACTGTGCCCTTTGGGAATGGGACCTGGTGCTGCAGCAGAGGCAGCAGGTGGGAGGGATTGTCTAAGGGGCTTGAAAGGACCAGCTTTCTGGTTAATAAATATGGTGGCTACTAATCAGTTCCCTTTACCATGAGCTTTATCTTCTGAAGCTTTTCAGAAGAGCATGGATCATTTTCTGAAGAAAATTTGTCTTCTTGCAGAAGATATAAGAATGGAGACGGAGAAACACATGAAGAATTCTTAGATTTCAATAGGGGAAAATGTAAAGCAGCCACCCTCTGTCATTTCACTAGCTAATTTTCCCATGTGAGAATATTGCCTGTCGCAGCTCCTGATCTCACAACCCTGAGATCACAACCTGAGCCAAAAGCAAGAGTTGACCCGCTTAACCTAATGGAGCCACCCAGGCATCTCCTGAATGAGGTCTTAAACCCCAAACTAATAAATTTTTTTAAGATGAATTGGCATAGTTGATTCTAATTAATAAATAATAAGGCTAGTGTTAAGCAGAAACTTGCATTTGAGTATTTGTTTTCTCTTTGGCCTCATAATACCCGCAACTCGGCCCACCCTCCCAAGAGTCTTTGAGACATAGTTACTTGGATTTATTGCATTTACTTCAGACCCACCCGAGATGGTATTGATTTGCTCAGCCCCATCAATGTTTCTGGGAATTTGTTGTCACTTAGATGGAAAACCCAGAATTTAGTCCCAATTTTTGTCCACTTTCCTCCCTTGTTGCTATTCTGTTGCCAATTCCTTGGGCTCCTTCTTTGAAATATTCCTAATTGATATATTTCCTTTCTGTGTTACTAAAATCCATTTCGCAGCACCAAGTGCCAGATGCCTTAACTACCCTGCTTCTGACTGGTTTCCCCACCTCTGTTTCCCTCCTCCTACAAGCAGCCCTGCCGAGGCTCTCAGATGACATTTCTCATACTTATATTTCATATTTTGACTCTTCTGCTCAAGACCCTGGAATGGCTCCCTCTTCATCACTCTTAAGTGAGGTTTCAACTGACTTGCTTCCTATTCTGTGCCCAAGGTTCTTGTAATTTCTTCTCTGTTTACTCTCGCCTTTCACTATGTGTAGTTACTGGCTTGTTGGTGCTTGGCTTTACGAGTTCTTTCCCAAGAGGATTGTTTGGAAATTGGAATTAATTTCTTTAATGTAGAAACAATTATTTTAGAGACGTTGTTGAGTTCCGAAGCTATAACTCGAAGGGCTGTGCATCCTCATGTAGCTGATTTCTGGCTTCTGGTAGCCAGGAGTCATGTCGAATAGTGGGGCAGGGGAAGGATGGACTGCTTTCTCCTTCTTTCCTAATTACAGGGTCATCTAGCACAAGGCAGAAATCACAGTGATTTTTTTTTAAGATTTTATTTATTTATTCATGAGAGACATAGAGAGAGAGACAGAGACATAGGCAGAGGGAGAAGCAGGCTCCCTGTGAGGAGGCTGATGCGGGACTCGATCCCAGGACCCCGGGATCATGAGCTGAGCCAAAGACAGACGCTCAACCACTGAGCCACCCAGGTGCCCCCACAGTGATGGTTCATGTGTAGAGGTAGCCGTTAGCATTTGACTTCTGTTAACTGACTTCCAGTCCTTGGAGCCACCCCAACTAAATAGCACATTAATTAATTCACTGAGTACATTATTATTAAAATAGCAGTAGTTTCTTTCTACTAAACACTTTCACTTCTGATTTTTCTAATCCTTAACAACCATCATGCATAGTACTTTAAAGTCACCTCCACTGAGGAGAGGCACCAGTTGAGACAGGATGAGGTTTAAGCATGTACAACTCCTGATTTATCTACTCGTCTTACAAATAGCCTATCTGTATTTGTAAATCACTTAACAGAGGAGGTGCTGTGTGAATGTTTGTTAGTGAGATGTACTGATCACCTCCACCCTTTCTCTACTTAATCTCCTCCCTTGCTATAAGCAAGCACCAGGGGGCCACTGTTCTTGCTTTTAGAGACAGGATAGCTTCAAGGTCGATGGTTTGTTTCTTTTGCTGTTCAGAGGTGTTTTAGTGTGATGTAGACGTACCTGTTTATTTTTGCTTTTGTTGCCTCTGCTTTTGGTGTCAGATCCAAAAAATTATTGTCAAGACTGAAGTCAAGTTGTCTACCGCCGCCAGTGTTTTCTTCTTGGAGTTTTATGGCTTCAGGGTTTTTGTTCAGATCTACAATCTGTTTTAAGTTTGGGGGGTTTTGTGTATTGTGTTAAGAGAAGAGTCCAGTTTCATTCTTTTGTTCCAGTTTTCCTGGCACCATTTACTGAGACTGTCCTTTTCCCAAGCTTACATTCTTGTTGGGAGAGGGACCCAATAACCCAATAACAGATCATAATAATTGCTGTTGGAGAAAAACACAGGGAGAGAGGAGGCATGGGGAAGGCTGGGCGTTGCAATTTTAAAGACAATGGCCACCGTATTTAAGAGAGGAGGTGACATTTGAGCAAGTTCCTGAGAAAGACTCTAATGGGTTATATTCTGTGAGAAGGAAATTGAGCAAGTTAACCTGTGCTCAACTGCGGCAAAATCTTCTGTCTTGCTCTTTTAAAATTTGATTCCATTTTTTAAAGATTTTATTTATTTATTAGAGAGAGAGAGCACAAGCAGGAGAGCAGCAGGTAGGAGAGGGAGAAGCAGACTCCCCACTGAGCAGGGAGTCCAATGTGGGTTCAAACCCAGGACCCCCGATCATGACCTGAGCTGAAGGCAGACTCTGAACTGATTGAGCCACCCAGGTGCCCCTGAAATTAAATTTCAACAGGAAATAAATATGTGTGTGTGTGTGTGGGGGGGGGTGCTAAAAGAAAAGGGACCATTCCAGAAGGTGGGGTGTCTGGGAAAGGATGGACCCAGAAGGGCTCGTAGGGGGGCCCTCTTCGCCTTGACTGCCAGGAGGACGCTCCAGCGTCCAGCGAGCTCGAGGGTCCCCGGGGTGTAGGCCTTGCCATTACCTGACCCCGGTCTGTAGAGGCCGCTTCTGGCCTCCTCCGTTGACAGTGGACTAATGGTTTTTATTGTGACAGCAGAGGCTCATTGCGTGGTGGAGCGTTGGTGAGCGCTGGGGGTGCTTCACGGCTGGAAAGCTTGCACCCCATTCCCTGCGCAGGGATGCTGATGCCTGGGCCCGTGTGTGTCTTGCAGCCTCGTGGGAAGCTAACCTCCAGGGGCAGCCGGGATGGCCAGCTCCGCCCGGGAGCACCTGCTGTTCGTGCGGCGCCGGAACCCCCAGATGCGGTACACGCTGAGCCCCGAGAACCTCCAGAGCCTCGCGGCCCAGAGCTCTATGCCGGAGAACATGACCCTCCCGAGGGCGAACAGTGACACGGACCTGGTGACCTCTGAGAGCCGCTCCAGCTTGACCGCCAGCATGTACGAGTACACGCTGGGGCAAGCCCAGAACTTCATTATCTTCTGGGACATTAAAGAGGAGGTGGACCCCAGTGATTGGATTGGACTGTACCACATAGGTGAGTGACGGGAAGTGCACTTGCATGTGCCTTAGAGCACAGTGTTACTCTGACGTTGTGCTATTTTGTATTTTTTTTTCCTGGGGAAAACACACACGCGCACACGCACACACACACACACAAATAAGTCCAGCAAGATTCTGGGGACTCCCCCCCCCTTTAGAAGGGAGAGAATTAACACTAATAAATATCTTTGTGGTGATGAATTTTGTGGTTATATTTCTAGATTAAATGCTAAGACCTGCAGATTTTGTGATATTTTCTCCTTAAAGCTTCGCATCGCCCTTGATCAATAGTCTCATTTCGGGACGAGTTGGATGTTAACTTTTACCTGTAGTTTTAAACTGATGAAAAAGATGTCTAGCTTTAGATAACTGATGTGAAAAAATGTCCCGTAGTTTCTAAAGATTGAATTTCTTTTTTTTTAGTTGATTTTTTATTGGTGTTCAATTTGCCAACATATAGAATAACACCCAGTGCTCATCGCATCAAGTGCCCCCCTCAGTGCCCGTCACCCTGTCACTCCCACCCACCTCCCTTTCTACCACCCCTTGCTCGTTTCCCAGAGTTAGGAGTCTCTCATGTTAAAGATTGAATTTCGTGGAGAACAACTTGCAGTCTTTGGTATCTTTTTATTTCAGAATTCCTGATGTGTCCTTGATCAGTTAGGTGAAGAAGGTGTCATATTTTCCTAATAAGTGACTTAGGAATAGATTGCTATTTGTTTTAATAAAAATGTTCCAGCTGTGTTTAGCTAATTTGCACCTGTTATTCATAGGTGAACAAATGATGAATGGCACATGCCAGAAAATAGAAAATTTGCTCCATTGAAAGCAAAAATCCAAACCCTACTAACCAGACTTTAAGAAAATCCAAATTAAACCTGACAGTAAAACTCTAATATTCCTCAGAGTTGGGGAAGTTTTTCACTCAATGGGGGGAATTCCTTTCAAAATTTAACATCAAGTATTTTATTTTATTTATTTAATTTTTTCTTAAAGATTATTTATTTATTTATTTATTCATGAAAGACACACACAGAGAGAGAGAGGCAGAGACACAGGCAGAGAGAGAAGCAGGCTCCATGCAGGGACCTGACATGGGACTCGATCCCAGGTCTCCGGGATCACGTCCTGGGCTGAAGGTGGCGCTAAACCTCTGAGCCACCCGGGCTGCCCAACATGAAGTTTTTTTTTTTTTTTTCCCCAACATCAAGTATTTTAATAGACATGGTTGCTTTCACTGTAGATTTCAAGCCAGGCATCTTTGTTTTTTCTTGTTTGTTTGTTTTTTGGAGTAAATTAGGGGCAAAAGACCTATTTGTTTTTGGCAGGTCCCATACCTACCCTATGGGACATTTGGTTAATGTCTGGAGACCTTTTTGGTTGGCAGAGTTGGGTAGGGAATGGGAAACCAGGGGTGCCGCTAAATATCCTGTAATGCACAAGATCACCTCCTACAACAATCTGTTAATGCTACTATTGACAAACTTGATTCAAGGCAAAGCAATGTCCTTGCTGACAGTTTATCAAAATGTTAAACCTGCTAAAATGTATGTTTTTCAGCAACAAATAATTTTATGTTGACTAAAAATTGGTTTGTTTTTACTAATGTAATTCTTTATTAATCATTACTAGATAACAAATCTAAAATGGCCAAAAACAATTTCAAGAATTTTAATTTTTCTGTTTCCTCTTATGACAACAAAAAAAGGGGGGGGGAACTCTTCATGGTTCAGCATTTTTACCCAGATGTGTTTAAATATATATTCAAAATGGGGAAGATAGGATTTAAAAATCGTATTTTTATCTCTGAAATCTATTATATTCACAGAAAATTCTTAAAGTTTTGTTGGGACTTTGGGAGTGATTCATTTGGTTTTGATATAACTTTAATTTTTTAGATTTCACAAGACTATTTTCTTTTCATCTTGATATGAGTTTTTTTTGTATTTACCTATCATCAAGTTCACTAGTCATTTTTTTATTTTTTAAAATTTAAAAATTGTTTTTTTTAAATTCAATTTGCCAACATATAGTATAACACTCAGTGCTCATCCCATCAAGTGCCCTCCTCAGTGCCCGTCACCCAGTCACCCCATCCCCTCACCCACCTCCCCTTCCACAACCCTTTGTTTCTAAGAGTTAGGAGTCTCTCATGGTTTGTCTCCCTCTCTAATTTTTCCCCACTCAGTTTCCCTCCTTTCCTTTATAATCCCTTTCACTATTTCTTATATTCCCCGTATGAGTGTAACCATATGATGATCATCCTTCTCCGATTGACTTATTTCACTCAACATAACCCCCTCCAGTTCCATCCACATCGAAGCAAATGGTGGGTATTCATCCTTTCTGATGGCTGAGGAATAGTCCACTGTATACCTAGACCACATCTTCTTTATCCATTCATCTGTCAAAGGACATCGTGACTCCTTCCACAGTTTGGATATTGTGGACATTGCTGCCTTGAACATTGGGGCTCAGGGATCGCGTCATTTCACTACATCAGTATCTTTGGGGTAAATCCCCAACAGTGCAATTGCTGGGTCGTAGGGCAGGTTTATTTTTAACTTTTTGAGGAACCTCCACATAGTTTTCCATAGTGGCTGCACCGGTTCACATTCCCACCAACAGTCCAAGAGGGTTCCCCTTTCTCCACATCCTCTCCAGCATTTATTGTTTCCTGATTTATTAATTTTAGCCATTCTCACTGGTGTGAGGAGGTATCTCACTAACTTGTTTTTTCATCTTCATTTTGTTGTCAGTCCCATCCAGTGGATTTTAAAATTCCAGTTGTTTGACTTTACATTTGTAGAATTTGCATTTCTTTCCCTTTTTTGTAGATTTTATTTTTCTCATAAAATTCCCTGTATGTTATTAACTCATTCAAACCACATTTTCATTCAGTTTTTTGAATTCAATTCAATGTATCTCAATGTATCTGCTTTAAGTTCTCTGCTACATCCAATATACGGGCAGTTTTTACTGTCAGTTTTTCTCTTGACCATGGTTCCCATTTTCTTGCTTCTTTGCATATCTAGCAGTTATTGAATTTACACTGGCAATTGAGAATTTTAAGTTGTAGAAATCCTGAGTTGTGTAGAAAAATTTTTATTTTAATATTAATTTTTCTCCTAGTCTGAAGATTTATTTCTTTGAACTTGCTAGATATAATTTTCTGCTTTGTGAGGATGGATCTGTGGAAGCCCAGTGTGGTTCCCCAGCAGTTCTAACTTGATGGGATCCAGCCTCTATTTTTTGGTCTCCCCACGAATTTTATTAGAGGTTGGTTTAGGGCTAGCTCTATAGTAGGTCTTGTTGGTCTTTATATTTCTTTTTAAGTAGTAGCATTTCTGGTTTCTGAGCTGGATGCCTAGAATGTTGACCAGGTGTCTCTTCTCTGGGGCTGGGTCCTAACTCCAGTTTTCTCTAGCACCGCTGGATCTCGAGGAGCTTCAGTGCACTCTCAGCCCTGTAACAGCTACTCTCTGGAAGGCCTCGGTAGTGTTTCTCTGCACATGCGCAGCGCAGACATTAGCCTTCGTCTTGTGGGGCATCCCAATGTGCACTTCCAGCCTTCACACCTCCATAGCTCTTTCTTTCCCCATGCCCTGCCTGTTGATCCAAACTTAGATCTCCGTGTTCTTAGCTTGTCAGAACTTCCATGGTCTCCAGTTCCCTGCACTCACTCAGGAAGTTGTCCCCTAGCTGAGGTCTGGGTGGTCAGAGTCACCTCATAAGTCACTCTTCTTTCTGGGATTTTCATCTTAAGCTACCTGTGTATGCAATGTCTGAAAACCAGTGCTTCCCACTTTTACAGTTGTTTCCATCAGGAAGGCTAGTCTGGAACTAACTACTGCCTGAGGACCCGAAGAAGTTTCTTCCATGCTTTTGATTTCCAGGAGGCAGCAAGAGGTTTCACTTAATTTTCCCATCTCACCATTTCAGAGAATCTGAATAAATAAGAAAAGGTAGTTTCAGTTCCATGTTTTTTTTTTTTTTTTTCATTCTTCGTAGCGTATTTTCTAGCCGATTTTAGATCCCTGGCAGGGAAGAGAGGTGGAGAACTGCAGCGCTCCGACCTCTCGAGGGATGAGGAAGACCATGGAGACTGACATCTGCAAGTAAAGACATGACGTGGGAAGAATGAAGTAGGCATGTCTTTGGTGCCAACAGGTCTTCGCGGCAAATGACTCTGAAAGGCACAGGTCCCGGCATCTAAGACATTAAGTGTGGCTCATTTCTATAGTTGAAAGGCCACAACTATGTTTAAAAGAAAGCCTGGCTTGTCTGGGACCTCAGGAAGAGGGAACAGAGACCTGCCTTTAGGCAGACAGCCATTTCTCCTAAGGCTAAGATTGGCTCTTCTGACTTCTGCAGTGGAGGCAGCCTCACTTCTGTGGGGACTTTGCCATCCCAGGTGGTAAGGGATAGGTGGCAGGTTTGTAGCTTTTAACTGACAGCTGTTTCCTGTTCCTTCTTCCTTCCAGGGTCAGGGCTCAGTTGCAAGCCAATCATCTCAGGGCCGATGGACTCTCCCCAGATTCAGGAAAGTTCTAAACTTGTATGGTAATCCCGCTGGTGGGTAGTCCAGGAGTGGGCTGTGGGCCAGCTCTGGCCAGCAAGGGAAAGAGTTGGGGGGAACTTCCTTTTCCAGGGAAGAGCCAGAGCCCGTTGTAGAGTCCTTCGACCTCCCCTTCTCTCGTACCTGGGGCCTGGTGATGGGTGTGATGTCTTGAATTATTGGCTCCTAAGACAACAGCAACCCTAAGACATCAGCTGAGATGAAGAGCTAAGAATGACAGAGCAGAAAGTTAGAAGGAGCGTGGACTGGCTCCCCGAAGGTCTTGCCATCTATGACAACATCTTCCCCTCTTTGCTTAAGTCGTCGCTGTGAAGCGGTCTTGTGTTCCCCCTTAGTCCGAACTGAGCTGCTGGTGGTTTAGAGACGCCAAAGTGGAAAGGGGGCACGAGCTGCTTGGGCAGAAGGCAGGAGCAGGT